ACTTTCTGTGTCTCTGGAACCCTTGCAGCCCCAGGGAGAACTGTGGAGGCAGTGTGACTGGAGATGGGGTGGATCCCACAGCCATCAGAGGCTAAGTGGCGTTGGGAGCCCAGAATCGCTAACTGGGCTGGAGTCTCCCCCAGGTCCCCCTGTCCCAGCCTGAGAGAGCCTCTGCCCACCAAGGGATGATGTGTGCTGTGTTCCCCAGGTCTCTGCAAGGTGGTGAGAGGTACCAGGGGGGACCTGGCCATGGTCCTGCCACTCTCCCCACTGTCTGCCCTAGCCCCGGCCTCTGCCCTCTGGCTGCTGGCAACGACACACTGGACCCCTCTCTGGCTGCCCCCGAGTCATGGCTGATGTCCCGTGCACTGGCGTCCTCCAAGGAAGATCCCCTCCAGACTGGGCAGCTGGTCCGCGGTCTTGGGGTGGACTTGGCCATGCACCCTCCTGATGCTGCTGTGGCTACGTCCGTCGCTGCCCCCAGTGAGCCCGGCCCCACAGGTGGGTCCACTTTAGACAGACCCCATGTTTCTGCATCAGATGCTGTAACTGCTTGCATCCTGTTTGAGGGGGCAGAATTTTGAGGTGCTTGGACTTTCTGCTCAGATCCCGTGTTATTTGGATCAACCCCAACCCAGTGCAGCTGGAACACATGCTCTTCCCACAGACAGCCCGAATATGTCCCCTTTATTTTTGTTTCCAAAAAAAAATGTGCACCTGCCTGAAAAAACAAGACAGTGAGGAAAGACAAAAATGAAATGAAACGGCTGCCACCCCGGCAGTCTCCGCTCCAGTCCCCGTAACTTGTCAACACCTGTTACAGCCCAGGAGGGCTGAGCTGCTCATACCCCTGCGGCCCCCCCTGCTCTGGTTGGAGTTTCTTTCTGAGTTATAACTGTAGCTCTAAATACCTTGCAAGAATATGTATTCAGGTATATATTTTGTCCACCAAACATGACAGCATCTTGTGACAGCCCAGCTGGTAAGGAGGATATCGGCACTGAACTCAGCCCGTGACCTCAGTTTCTTAGTCTTCAATGGTCACACACATGTTTTCTTGGAGTTTCTCAGTGCTTTTCTTTTTTCTTGCATTGTCTGCTCTTACCACGTCGTTAACGTCTCCCCGTGTTTCACACGTCCCCCCCTGAAGGCTGCCTGCCGGGAGCCTGCTTCCTGCTCCCATCCGAGTGCTCGCTCTCTAGACCTGAGGGGAGCAACCCCCCAGGGCCCCTGTGGCTGCCTCCCTGGGTCTGCTTCGGCAAATTGAATTGCAGGTCTTATTCTTTCTTTCCTGACTCTTGTTTTGTTAGAGAATGTCTTCAATGAACTTTACGAGGAAGGGTGCCTGCAAGGGACATTTTCCGAGTCCTTGCATGTTCTGAAATGGTCTTTAATCTGCCCCCATATTTGATGGCCACTTTGTCAGGGACAGAATTCTGAGCTTAAAATCCTTTCCCCTTAGAAATCTGAAAGCATCTCATCCTTGGAGCATCCGGTGTTGTCATTTTAAGTCGGATGTCATTCTGATGTTCACGTATCTTTCCTCTCTCGGAGCTTTTTATCTTGGTGTTCTGAAGTTTCAGAATGGTCCGGAGACTGGGTGTGATGGTCCTGGGTGTGAGTCTTTTAAATTCACTTTGTCGGTAAGCCTTTCAATTTAAAGAGTCTGTGAACAAGGTCTCTGTTAAGCTCTGGGGCATTTTATTAGACTGAAGCATAGCTGACTTACTCTGGGTGTTTGGGGTGATACTCTTGGATATTTTCTTTGATAGTCTCCTCCCTCCAGTTCTCCCTTGAGAGCACGAATGTTATTTGGATGTTGGAAATCCTGGAGCAATCTCCCAAAATGCTTATCTTTAAAAAAAAATACATGTTTTTATTGTGTGTGCTTTTGCCTTAAATTCGGTCTTCTGATACTTTATTCTGACCGTTACATAGTTTAAGAGAACTCCAGGCTCTGTGGTGTCTTTACTGATTTTCCTTTCTTCAGAGATCCTGTTACTTTTCTAGATGCGATAGCTTCTATTTCTCTGAGTATCCTAATTAGAAGTTTCAGGAAGTACCTTTTGCTGCCTGAAGTGGGGAATGTTGGCATCCTGGATTCGGGTCCTTCCTTGAGTAGAGGAGGCGGGGCCCCAAAGAGGGCGAGCTCGAGTCTGGTTTCTCCGAGGCAGCTTTTCCGTCTGATCGGACTGGTCTTTCGTTTCAGAGGCTCGCCATTGCCTGCCCATATTTACTAACAGGGCTGGAGTCGGGAGGGCCTTGGGCAGCCTCACCCGGGGGTGAGGGGAGCTGGTCTTCACGCCACGTCCCGTGTGTGTGAGGGGTGGTGGTCTCCGGGAGGTGTCCAGCTCCCTGCTGACCGACCGCCTGAGCACCAGGAGGCCCCCCTGCTCCGCCTCCCTCGCCGCAAGCTTCTCAGGGTCCTCGGCCTTGGCTTCCCCTCAGACACCCGCCACCTGGGTGGGATGGACCTGTGCTCTGTGTTTGCGGAGCAGGGACCTCTCTCCCCTGCTAGTTACCTGTCCCCTGACACCTGCTTTGTTCTGGGCTTGGGGCTTTTTATTTCTCTTTCTCTTGGAGGAAGAAGACATCTCATTGATCTATTACGTTTGAAATAGAACTGTTCAAATTAACCAAATTTCCTGGACCTCAGAGTATCTTGAAAGTTGTGCGGGAAAGAGGAAACAGCATAAAACAGGGGTGGAGTTGTGTACCAAATGGTGGGGGAGATCTGGGCAGCTGGCTGGCAGACAGGAGGAGGGACTGTTGCTGAGGATCTGAGATCAGGGACTCAGGCTCGCTTTACCACCTGACAGACTTAGAGCAGAAATGGGCTGAACTTCTTAGCTCACTTTGCTCCTAAACATCTGTCAACCAGAACTGATCAAAAGCACAGTGGCTTGCCTTAGAGAGGCCAAGGTCCCCTGAGATGTTTGCTGAAACATTTTAAGCAGAGGGAAAGTGCAGAGTAAGGTAGTGACACCTCGCACCTCAGTGACGTCGGGGCGAAGCCCAAGGTGAAAGGGGAAGGAAACAGCCCAGCCTCTGGTGAACGAGTACGAGCGGCAGGAGGAAGCGGATGCCCACCTGTCTGTCCGTAGGCGACGCAGTGGACATGGAGCAGGGCTGGATGCTGAGTCTTCTTCTTTCATTGAAGTACAGTCAGTTCACACTGTTGTGTGCTTCTGGTGGACAGCGTCATAGTTCAGTTGGATTCTGGATCTTCTGCACTAGGGGCTGTTGTGAGGTCTGCAGTGACAAAGCAGAATTTGAAGTCAGCAAACTGTTACTTTGTTTGGGTCTTTGGGAGCCTGAAGAGGCCACTGAGCTCACCAGTGGTGGCTGCCCTCCCCTCAGCGAGGGAGCTGAGCCTGGGGCTGGACAGGTTGGACGCGGCCTCTCTGCAGGATTCTCTGTCGTGCTGCATGGGGACCCTGCTGCCTTTTCCAGCCCTGGGTTGTGGCATTTCTTCCTGTGCAGGATTTGCTGACCCTCCCAGCGTCAACTCCCAGAGCACGTACCTGCAGGAGGTTCCAGGCACCAGCGGTGGCTGGACAGAGGGACTGGCGGGTGGCTTCCTGATGACACAGCCCCCACCGCAGGCTCCCGAATTCATCCTTGCCCAGAGGTAAGCCTCAGAGCCCTGGAGCTCAGGCTACACATGCCACGGCCCGTAAAGAGGCCAGTCCTGGTGGGGAGATTTGCCGTCCAAGTGTGCAGCTCTTTTCTGATGGCCCTCGACTGAATAAAGGTTGTACTTTTCCCAAGAGAAAAGAACACCCGGAAATATCAGAGGAGTTATGGGCATACATTCTGTGGCTGGTGCTCAGGCCTCGACGCTTCCCCAGAGATCTCCCTGGGCCCCGGCTGCCTCTTTCAGGCAACTTCTCTTTTTTTTTTTGGTGCGGTGGGGGAGGAAGGTGTGGTGGTAATTAGATGTATTTATTTATTTACTGGAGGTACTGGGGATTGAACCCAGGACCTTGTGCATGCTAGGCATGCACTCTACCACTGAGCTACACCCTCCCCTCTTCAGGCAGTTTCTTTTCCCCAAAGACTTAGTTTCTGAACAGCAGCAGGATCTTGGCTTTATATTCCAAATTGTAGTTTTAAAAGGGCTCTGGAGGGCAGTGAGCAGCCCAGGGCTGCGGACTGTGGTGGTGGGGCTGGGGCAGCCATCCAGATGACCTCCAAAGCGCAGCCTGTTAGGCAAGGGGGCCTCTGCAGCAGAGGGAATCTATGGTAGCGGCCACAGGACTGGATCCCCAGGGTGCAGGAGCTCCCTAATCTGGGCAGAATCACAGGGGGACGTGTGAGAGAGGAGGAGCCCCCCTAAGTTGCAGGCCCTGCTTAGGAAATAGCCAGACAGTGAGAAAATCCAGCCCGTGCTGACGGACTCACTTTTCCATTTATGACTGGGAGCCGCACAGACCAGAGGCCTTCATGGGGTCCCCTTGTGGCTTCTCCACTGGCCGACTTGCCCTTGGGCCCTGCTGCCCTGGCCCATCCTTGCTCTGGTGACCTTGACTCCTTCTGTAAGAACAGCTTTGTTGGGGGTCTAACTGGCATAAAGTGACCAGGCGTGTTCAGTTGTTACAGATGATAGTTTTCTGAGTGTGACTCGTGTGTCCGCCACAGCCCATAACCGAGCTGCAGGTCTTGGCCTTGCAGGCTATTTCCACTCGCCTCCACCCCCACCTCCCCAGCATCGGGGATGTGCTTTCTTTAGCTGCATTTTCTGGAATTTGGTACAAATGAAATCGTACAGCAGATGCTCTTCTTGGGGGGTGCAGCACTCTGCCTGACTCCTCCGAGACCCGTCCCGGTACTTTGGGTCCCCACAGTCCCCTCCTCCTCATTGTGAGTCCTGTCCTCGGCCTGGGTCGACATCACCGATTGGCTGGCACTTGGGAGCCTGGTCTGGGGGCTGCTGTGAGCCTTTCCGTATGCCTGGCGACCTGCACGTCTGCCTTTGTGTCTCTGGGAGAGGACACCTACGAGTGGGTGACCAGGTGTGGTCAGACTTTTAAGGATCTGCCTGGCCGCTGTTCTGAGGGGCTGCACCAGTTACCTCCCCTGAGTTGGCCCTAAGGGCCTACTGACTCCTTCCCACCTCAGGCCTGCCCCTTCTTTGTGACCTTTTCTTCCTTCACATCCCCACTGGCTGTCCCCTTCTCTGTGAGCCTGTCT